GACCTTCATATCTGCCAGAGAAAAAAAAAGGTGTTTCAAATGGACAGTTTTCCCATTGACACTGCTATTATTTTAACTACGTTCACACCCTTGGCAATGATTATTTATCTTTTATAGATTTATTATTTTACCATTTTATGTGAAAAATATTCTTTTATTCAAAAATGTTTTTAAAAAGTTACAAAATTATCAAAATATATAAACCATCTACAATGCAATAAGTTTTAGCACATTGATGAATTGCCAATTTTACCTACTTTCATTTCCTCAGCAATGTTGTTTTAAAAAACAATGATTTAAATATTTAATGAATTTAATAAAGCTGAAACATATTTAAAATTAAAACAAGAACTAATCAGATATAAAACAATCTGAGAAGAATTTTTTTTATGTCTTAAAAATCATGTTTATTCAAATTTTGTTATATATTTCATTGATATAAAATTTTGAATAAAAACTTGTTTTCATATTTATTTATAAAATGGTAAATAAATATTGCCTTGTAGTTGGTTTACATATTTTGAGAATTTTGTAATTTTTTAATTTTTGAATAAAAGATTTGTTTTCACATTTATTTATAAAATGGTAATGAATAAATCTTTATAAAAGCTAAATAATTTTTTATAATCTTGTAAATAAACATAGTTAAAATAATAGCAGTGTCAATGGAAAAACAGTCTTTTTGGAACATCGTATTTTTTCAGGCACGTATGTCCATGTTTGCCACAAAACTTTTTATAGATAATCTTATTGATGAGCACATTTTACAGTACACTACTTTCCTATATGAATTAGTTTAATACTAAATACAGTTTAAATCATATTATTAAAAATGAAGGGTCACTTATATTTTCTTATATTTATACGCATAAAGAAAAGCATCAGTTTCAGTATTAATTTAACTTTAACCCTGTCCCAGAGGAGGAGAGAGGTGGGGATTGCCTGTAACCAATTTTCAATTAATGCTGCACCTTTTATGTTTCAGATATTGATTAGAAATTCCAGACCTAAAAATAAACTGTCAGAGAAAAAAAAGAAGCCAAAGGAATATATTAGAAATAAAATCATAGCAGCAATATTTGACAAGAAAATATCAAAGTTAGCAAATATTTTAATTATGCTGATTCAGCAAAATTGCAAAAAAAAACTGGAAAATATTTTTGATTTATGTGTTGACAAACCATTCTGTTGTAAATTTCAATAAGAAGTCGCTTACTGGAAAAAATCCAGGCATCTGCCAGTTCTACTTTGTCAGACATAATGAACTTACTATTAAGACAGGAGTATATAGTTGCATCATCAACAAAAACACGAATTTGGGAATTGATGACATCGGGAAGGTCATTGATGAAGAAACAATATAGATAGAAACTTAGGAGATCTCCGCTTTAAAGGACCTAGAAGAGTGGCCATTCAACACAATTTTCATTACACAATTTGTTAAGAACTGGATTAAGTTAAATATTTAACTAGAGATAACATAGCTCTTGAACTTGTGAAGAAGGTCAGCATGCCAAACCCTGTCAAATGTCTTTAAGATATCTAAAGCCACAGTCTGATCCTTGCCATTCTTATATAAAGTTTATCAAATTCAGTAATAACTATTAAAACATTGGCAGGTGACCTAGAGAAATGAAAGCTATATTGTTTATCTGAAATAAAGTCATCATAAGTGAGATGCTTAACCAATTCAGAGTTGATTAGTGCCTCTAGTACTTTGCTAAAAAGAAGTAAAATACTAATAAGTTGATAATTCAAGGGGGTCAGAAGGTTTATGAGATTTCTTAAAGTCAAGAACTACAGAAGTGAATTTCCACCGAGCTGGAAAGCAAAGAAGCAGCAAGGCATTTATTGTAGAGTTTGGAGAGAACAGGAGCCAGTTTGGGAGCACATTTCCCTACGACAATTGCAGGGATACCATCAAGTCCACGCATCTTGTGGGGGATCTAGTTTAGAGATGGTAGCAGAAACCAGGGACAGAGCATATGCATATCAAACAGAAAGATTCCGTTCTAGAGAGGAAAATCAGGCAAAGATACTCCTGATGAGTAAAGAGTGGTGTTTGAAGAGAATTTATGAGCAAAGCATTCTGCATTATTAGCAGTAGATGACAATACTTAAAATTGAATGAAGAGAGGAGGTATAAGGCTGAAAGTGCTCACAAGTTTCAAACACTTACAATCTGGGAGCAATTGAATTTGCTTGCAATTTACAACCAGGTCATACTGTATTTCAATACACAGTATTAACATCCTTTACATGATCAACTAGAAGTACCAGAAATCAACAACTTTTTTAAAAGTTGTAGATTTCCAAAACCATATCTCGTAACTAGTAATCCCCAAGGATGCTAAATTTGGTATCATTTGAAAGAGAAATCAATTTACTTTAGTATAAAATCAACTTGTAATACTTGATTTTTTAACCATGGACTCCAAGAATTTAACGACTGAAATCTCCTTGGGCTAACAGTAAAATTGGTTTAGTTTAAAGTAAACTTTTAGTACATCAGTTGTTCTAGTTTGCTTCTAAGTTGACATGTCCAATTCTAGGTTATGTAATTAGTTCCTTTTTTGTCTCTCAAAGCCAGTTTTTCAAAGATCAATATATATGAGGTTAAGTCAAAAATCATCCGTACTTATGCCATAACATATCTGTGTTATGAGTGTGGATAATTTTTGACTTTCCCCTCATAAATAACCAAATACAAACAATTTGAAAATGCAATTTAAATTTCAACACGCATTAAATAGAAAATCTAAAGAAACATCAGATGTTAAACTAAATAAAAACATTAACAAATTAAAGAAACACTTTAGCTTTGACATACAAACTCAGAAGAAAAACACTTTTCGCACTACTACCAAGTAGACAGGCCCATTCATAAAAAAAAATTTTTAAAAATAAGGACATTTTTTGGAAATAATTTCTGTAGATTAACTTTTATTAGACCTTACTCAGTCCCCAACATTAGTTAGAAAAAAAAAAAACAAAAAAAATAAATTTTTTAAGATCATTTTAGAAGAGGGGTCAAGTTTATAATATTGATAGTTTTTGGTAAAAAAATATGGGAAGTGGAAAAAGTTTTTGTGTGATGCATTTTGTCCTTTAGGACTTCATCGGATTAAAATGATACTGTGACATTGATGTGACTATGCATGCACACTAAGAAAAGGTGATGCTGAGAATTAAATTTTTTTTTTTTTAAAATATGTTTCAGGTATATAGTCTAGCAGACTTGATTTACTCTCCTTCTGTCCATGTTTCCATCACTTTTGCTATCAAATATCCTGCACTGAGACAACAGAATATCCATCAAGAAAGGTAAAATGCTGTAAGAATCTGGACATAAATTTACTATGGATGATCTAGCAATTAAAGCACTTTCTATACATTTTCATCATACTAAATTCCTATCTCTTAATTACAGTTGAATTCTTTTTTTAAATTAAAATTATGGTTAGTCTCATTACAGTGAGCAACTAATGCATTTAGTGTGCCATTCTTTAAAAGACTTTCTGTGTTTATATAATCTTTTATCTAAATTCCTTGAGATTTCTCTTATATATATTCCTTGTGACAATTATTACAAGTGATAGAGAAAATTCATCCTTCAAGTTTTAGCTTATCATTTTCTTTTGTATTAACTTTTATTTTTTTTAGAAAACTTAAGACTTTATACAAAACAAAATATGTTAAAACTCGAAATAAGAATTTGCTCTATCACATGTAATAATTTTCTGATAATATCAATAGTGTAAAATCAATACATGACTTTTTGCAGAGTTATTGGACATAGATGTTTTGTGCATGAAATTTTTTTTATAGAAAGATTTTTTTAAAATAAAAGAACTGATAATTAAAAAACAAAGATTTACATAAATTAATAAAAGTATATATCCTTTTATTGCTTAAGATAAATAATTATGATCCACCAATGTTTATGTATGTACTTATGAAAAAAAAACTGACAAAAATAAGTTTAAAAAATTCAGAAAAGTAAAAACAAAAAATGAATATAGATATCAATGACATAAGCACGGTTTCAAAATTGACATTTGTAAATAATTCTTAACAAGTCATGGATCAATTTTACACTGTATCAATATTACAAACAAAACCCCACCTTTTCAAATGATAAAAAAAAAAAAATCAAAATTTTTTTGATTCTGAAAAATGTCATGACTCAATGACTGTCTAATGTAGTGGTTCCCAAAATTTTTTTAACTCTGGGTTGTACTTAAAAGGGAGATAATTGCGTTTCGAATTCAGAACATTATCATTGATAACTCTGTCCTCCAATATGCAAACACTAGTTACTTTATTCTTAATACTTGATATAATGCAAAAATATAACAATAATCTGTCAATAATTATTTATCACTATTTATACTGGGACTCATGCATGCAATTATAAGTAATCCATAATAATATTTTAAATTTTGAAATCAGATTGATTTTTGGCATATTAATTTTTTTAAATTGTTTTTTATTGTCTTTCAACCATTCTGCCTCACCTTCTATCCTCTTCCACTGCACCTATGAGGTGTGCCGCACTATTTGTGAACCACTGGTCTAATGAATACTAATCTGTAAAAATATTCCCTGGAAAAATTGTCATTTTTTTTTTACGAGGGGATCAGTATATTTAAATAGCTCCCAAGAATACTTCTGAAATATTTATACTTTATTTCAAACTCTTATTTCTTGGCACTACATGTGTAATTACAATTAACTTTGGTACCTAAACAAAGAAAATTATAGTCAAACATAGTAATTTAAATAATGTAAGGAAACTTGTAAATTGGATATGCAAAATCTCAAAACCAACTTGGGTTTATGTGCTTTTCTTTAAAAACCATCTAAAGATCAATTTCTGTGGTTGGAATTATTGGGATGTGAGTGAAGTCTTAGGGAATGAAGCAAATCAAATCTTTCTAAATAACACAAATTAAAATCTTTAAAATGGTTATATAGAAAGGTTATATAGACAGGTTATATTAAAAATGGTTATAAAGAAAGGTGAAGCCAAATAATGAAGGGAACATACCTTCATTTTGCATGGCATAACCTTTAAAACCTAACATGATAACATAGATAAAAAAAGTTAGCAATCATAATTACATTTAAATATCTTTTTAGTTTAATGAAATAAGAAAAGAAGAAAATAAAAAAATGAACAAAATAAAATTTTTAAAAAAAGCACAACATTAGAAAAAAGCATAAAATTTGAAAAAATATGTGAAGAAAAATAAATAAAATTAAAAAAATAAATAAAATTAAAAAAACAGACATTAGTTTCACAATCAACAAAAGAATTGAGGTTTATAATTGGATGAATCTTTAGGATGTATTTTCTTAGGTTTTTCATTGCAATGATACAATGTATAATTGTGAGAAGAATTGCAGCTACTGGAATAAGATCTTCAGCTGTTTGAAAATAGTGGATTTAAAAAGAAAAAAAGAACTCTCTTTTCATTATAATAGCCATCTGCACCTAAAAATGGGGCAGTAACTATCATATTTGGATTTTTAAAAATAATTTTTCTTCTTTTTTCATTTGTGAAAGAAAAACAGGTAAGTTGGTGTCACTAACAATTGAAATCACTGCTTGAATTATTTATGGGATATGAGAGAAAGATTGCCTATGATCTAGTTCAAGATGGTAGTCCAAAACAAGCTGCACTTTCCTCAATGCACTTAAAGTAAGGGGGTCAGGGTCAATTAATGATGCATTTCAAAAGGGGAGGTGTCATGGGTACTGGACAATTTCTGGCACCATCTGCATCTCCATCTTAATTCTAATTCCATGGAGAAGGGTAGGTACATATAGTGATTGAAAGGGAATTTAATCAGAAGTTGGATAAAAAAAAAAAAATCTATCAATTTTGTGTTAAGAGTTTGTTCTTGCCAAATCAATCAGCAGTAAACTGTTTTTCTTTAAACTGCTTTTGATTAAAAAAAAAAAAAAAAAAAGAAAAAAAAAATCAATTTTTAAGACAGTTAAATAACCAGAATTGAATTAGGAATAAAATTAGAATTTTTAAAAACCTAGTTAAATGTCAATGAAAAATTCAGTTTTCCAATTTAAAGTTTTGATCAATCTTAATTCTTAAGTTAAATAAGAACCCTTATGAGTTCCATGAATATAAAATACTCATAGAAATTCCTCTGTTGCATCATAGAATATTTTAGTCAAACAATTTAAAAAAATAAAAAAAAACATTACAATAACAATCCCAAGTACAAATATGGGTCATTATTTAAAGAAGTAAGAGGGTATAAATGAAAAGAGATTAAATACTGACAAGGTTTTCCATTTAAGCTAGAGCATTTAATGCCTTCTCTATCTTCTTTATATTTCTTTTAATTATTATATATTTTTTGTTTTTCTGACTAAAACAGAATCTTTGATATATATTTTTTTCAGTCTTTTCTCAAAATCAAAACAGAATGGTCCATCATTTATCTGAGGAAATTGGCAAGACATAAACTTGGTAACTAATAGAAGAACAAGCAGAATTATATTAGATGAAATCAAGTCAAAAACTAATGCAAATTTTATCACAAGAGGTGCATTTCTTAGTGAAATTATTCTAAATTTTTAAAGGCACATACATTCTTGATTTTTAATTACCTATTACCCCCACTCCCACAGATATATGAATAAATGAGCTGATATGAAAGTGGCTACCTCACTGAAAGTCTGTTAGAAACAAAGAGCAGTAATTGAGTTCTTTGTTGCCAAAAGAGAAAATCCTGTATATGAAGATAAAGGTTTAAACTACAACAACAATATGTGGAGATGGGCCTATTGTCTGAATGAAAATTCAACAGACCAAGAAGAATTGGAAGTTCAAGCTTAGCAGAATACTTTGTCGCGGCCACCGTCAACTTCTGTCAATCCTGCCAACAAAGAAAAAGCAGAGAGTTTAATGAGAGCTGACAGGCGCTTAACCATTGATGAGATGGCATCAGAGTTTAGAGTTAGGTATCTTAGTAACATTACTGAGTCACTCAGATACTCAAAAGTGTGTGCCTGCTGGATACCAAGACTACTGACAAATGAGCACTGAAAGGGTTAACTGTTTGAATGAACTCCTTGATATCAATGAAAGAGATAAAACCTTCTTTCAAAGGCTCATAAGCAATGGTGAAACTTGGATTCATCATTATGAACCAGAATCAAAAAGACTATCATCGGAATGGTGTCATCTGATGACTGAAGACAAAAAAGTTCAAGGCTAAAATGTCAGATAGAAAAATCATGGTGACTGTCTTTTGGGATGCTGGTGGTGTTCTTTTTGTTGATTTCTTGCCAAGAGGAGGAGAAACAGTCAATGCTGAAACATACATTGAGACCCTTAAAAGACTTAGAACAAGAATCTACTGAGTAACACCAAATTTGGAGATAAGTTCTTCAACAACAGGTCACACTTGAACCTCAGAACAAGGGAGGCAATCAGCTTTTTTGAGTGGACAACTCTGTCGTATCCTCCCTACTTAGCTGACTTAGCATCCTCAGACATCCATCTTGGTTTTATGAAAGAGACACTGAGGAGCACATGTTATAGTGGTGATGAAGAGGTGGAAACTGTTGTAAGGAATTGGCTACATCAGCAAGTAGCCAAGTTTTACAATGCATGCTTTCATTCATAGGTAGAGCACTGCCATTGAAAGAGATGGTGATTATGTTGAGAAGTAGGGATGTGAACCTGTGATGTATAGCTATATCTTGATTTACGATGATCATATGTTGCATGAAACATTTGATTGTGTTCCTTATTTCTTGTATAATGAAACAAACTGCATTACTTTTCAACTCACCCTTGTAAATATACTAGTTTATTCAAAATGTCAAAAATTAATAGCCATGTTTAAATAATTTTCCAGTTGTATTGTTGATATTTTCTGCATGAGTTATGGATTTTATCTCTACCATTAAGTCTATCATTGTATGTAAAAAAAGTATTCTATTTTTAAACCATTCAAAATAAAAATTACCAAAGAAAGCTAACATGAAACAGAAGAATTAAGACAATAATGTATTAGCAACTTGTTCTCATTACTTAGTAATGAGAAAATCCATTGTATTGTTAACCTAAGGTATGTTGGCTTATTGATATCAAGTAATGCTTCTTGTTACTATAATAACAGAATATCTCAAAAACCCTGTGATAGATAAATATATAAAGTCATATTATGTTTTAAGAGATTATTTTAATATTTCAGGTTGGTATACATGATTGAGAAACTTTGGTAATATAAATGATTTGGTAACTTAAAAAAAGAGCTGTACTTCTGAAATCCTTAAAAGTCAAAATATTTTAGAAAAACTAACATGGATCTTTTATGTGTTACAATATATACTATTGACTAGCTTAACCTGTTGCAAAATAGAAAGAATTATTGTTTTATGACTCCTGGTATTATTTTATTATTTTTCTTTACTCAAGTCTGGTTAAAAGAAAAAGTTACATTGTGTTTTAAGAGATTATTTTAATATTTCAGCCTGATATATATATGATGATTGAAAAACTTATCCAGGTTTAAAAACTATTTTGCTAACATCTGTCTCTATTAGGTATTATAACTATTTACACTATTTACATTGTTTGAACTGTTGTCCTCAACTTTATTGGCATATTAACAACATTTTGGTCATTGTATGCTCTGACCATTCTTCAGGTGATATACATTGGAATTACAAGCTAAACTCTTTATTTATTCCCCTGGGATAGATTGTTCTCATTCCAAATACCATGTCTTTCCTGGATATCTCAGTTTCAGTTATTTCCCTTTAGTAACTCAATTTTCCAAGTTATTGACCTCACAACTCATTTTGAGTCAAGTCACTGGATTACTTCCATGCTTTTATCCACTGGGCCAGGTGAATGAGTGAATGAATTTTTGGGATTTATAAACTTATTGTCACAATAACATTTTTACCAGATCTCATATTACAATTTTTGTTATTGTTGTTTTTCTATAGCTCTCTGTTCCCATATTATATTCATGTTTATGTTTTGCCACCTTAGGAAATTGTGTGGCATAGAATACGCACTGATTCCAAAAGTTTTTGTATTTTCCAGTAATGTTCTCTATTATTTTAACCTTATCTTAGAGAGGGCGGTGATTTCACTTTTTCCTCCATATATTTTGTTAAAATAAATGACTTGAAAAAAAAAAAAAAAATGATCCTAAATGGACCTGTTTTGGTAATTAAATAGTTGCCCATCTTGCACAAGTGCCTGATCAATGACTAAGCTCTGGCAAAAGCTACGGCTTCATATGCTAATTATTCATGCCAGGCAAGCTCTTCTTGTTTTGAAGACTGACACAACATAAATGTTCTACCTTGTGCCAAAATTAGCAAATATCCAAATACAAGAAAATTTTAGACAAATCTATTTACAGATTTGCCTTAAAACAGGCTGTATTACATGCAAATAATGCATCAAATAATAACTGTCAGGTAGAGAGTGAGCTTGTTAGCCTTGATTGGCAGTCTAGGAGAAGGATCACACTGATTTCAAAACTGGGGTAGATGGGACTCCTTAGTCACCATGAAGTGGCCAATGGCTTCTTCCATGAGATGAGGGTGGACAAGCTTTTCCTCAATGAGAATCATAGATATAAGAATGCACAGATGGTGTAATAGTAAGAGAGCAGAGTTCATTACATTCACTTATGAGAAAATATCCTTGAGAAAGGTATGAATCCATCTCTCTTCTTCTCCAGCTATGGATTAAACTGTTCTCTAGCTGTGGTTGGCAACTAGTCTAAACCCTAACAATTATCCATGGTCCCTAATCCTCAGCATTGAGTATGGGAAGAAGTAAAGCTTAAAAAAAAAAAAAAAAAAAAAAAAAAAAAAAAAAAAGTAAATAATATCAATACAGCTGTGTTTAGAGATCATTTTAATCTAAGATAATGACTGAAAAATTTGGATGCAATCAACATTCATTCAATACATACCTGTATCACCAGAAGTGCCATCAACTGTATCATCATCTGGCCGCAGTAAAATGTCACACCGTTGCATAAAGTTGATGGTAGCCTGGATATGTTTAGGCAAGTCATCTTGGAAGTCTGACCAAAAGGAGGAGGAAAATAAAATTTAAAGAATAATGCATCAAAACTGCAACATACGATGCAGGAGGCTATAGCAAATTCACTGATATAATTGCACTAGATATATTTGTCAAAATAAAAATCAATGCAAAACTATGAAAGTTGATATAAGAATCGAGTTTATCCATTTAGAAGACAATATTTAAATATTTTAATAATTAAAGAATTAAAAGAATTGTGATGGGATTTTTCAGTAGATAACTATGAAGAAATCAATTATGAAATAGAGAAATTTGGTAATACATCATGCTTTGAGAAATTTATTTCTCTTTTGAATGATGTAAAAATTTTATATTTTTCTACAACTTGAAAAATTTTAATGCTGGATTAATTTAAATTATCCAAATAAATTCTGCATAAAGCATACACAATAAAACTAATTTATATTGTTTTATTAGAAACATATTGATATGAATAAAACTCTGACCATCAGTCTTAAACTTATTTTCACCAGTGTATGTGAAGAGTGCAATCAATTGCAAATACTGAACAGGGGAGATAACACATCCAAATCAAAATCGATGAATGTGGTGCATCACTAAGTGACCTATATTTTATAGATTTGGTATATAGAAATGAAGATTTATAAGAGCTGATAAATGTAAGTAAACATGTAAACAATATTCAATAAAAAAAATGTAAAAATAAAGATTAAAATGGCCATCAAAATTCAATCAGATTTTTTATTTTGTCATTTTTTGCAGTTTTGTATGTAACAGAGCAAAACATTGGGATAACTTCAGTCAAAATAAAGTTTAGATAAGTGATGCAATTTATCAATCATATTCTTTGATCCTGATAACAATGACATTTTTCTTATACCATATTTCCAAATTCTAAATTTACTTGTCTTTCTGTTTTTGTTTAATCACACCAAGTCTATTTTCATGCTTTTCACTGCAAGCAACTTTCATTTGCTACAATATAAATGAAATATTTCTGTTTTCTCAAGGTGAGCATAACCAAATGTACAATGATTAATTCAAAATGATTTTCATATAGTCTGTCTTTTCTCAAGGTGAGCATAACCAAATGTACAATGATTAATTCAAAATGATTTTCATATAGTCTGACTGTCTTTTCTCAAGGTGAGCATAACCAAATGTACAATGATTAATTCAAAATGATTTTCATATAGTCTGACTGTCTTTTCTCAAGGTGAGCATAACCAAATGTACAATGATTAATTCAAAATGATTTTCATATAGTCTGACTGTTTTTTTTTTATATAACTTATTTGTCAGAGATAATAACTTTTTCAGAACCAAATTTAATTATGAAATTGACTAGTTACTTTAACAGTGTTTTGGGATGGAGGCTTTCATTTTAAAATATACTGTTTAGGAATTAGATTCAGAAAATAAATTGATGAGCATAGTCACTTTTTATAAATTCAATATACTTTAGTTCAATCTCACATCCTGACAATGATGGCATTTCTAATCTTATATAAACAGTTTTAAACCAAACAGATTAATGCAATTGATACCAAAATGAAGTAAATTTGTTTTTCTTCAAAATTACCATGATTGATTGAGAGGTGTCCAATTCTATAAAACAAGTTTGATACCTGATAGAATAATGAAACTGGTATCAAAATGAGGGAAACTTGTTTTTTAAAATTACACGCTTATTTTTCAACAGTCACTTAGAGCTGCAAATCTTTCCAAAATATCTTATTGATTTTTTTTCATTGTATCTATCAAATAAGTTTCTGGTCAACCTTTGACCCAAATGTGAACAGTAACTTTGACATCAGATGAAAAATGTTGACCTTTCTATGCTTCAATCAATATTACAAACAAGCGGAAATACCAAATTGCAGCCGTATGGAGGGGGGTGTAACAACAACAAAAATTCCAGGTGTTCTGATGAAAGGAAAAAAGTGTCACCTTTTCAGCTTTATTCTGTGATGCAGTGCTTGAGCGTGCTTGTTTGGTTTCATGGGCTTTTAGGTATCTATCGGCTTTGAGTGGCACACAACCTTTTATTCTCAAAACTTACACCTTTAATTACTGCTTTATAATAAGTAATTCAAATCTAGTAGTTATGATGAATAAAGATTATGGCACAGTGAATTATTAAGCACAAGTAAATTGAACTTTACGGCATGTTCAATCAAGTTTTTTTTTTATCTCTTTATTAGTCAACCCTACTGTTTGGCAACTAAGGTATGTTGCATACACATAAGAAGAGATAAAGTCTTTTAAAATTATAACACATTTCTGATGGCAAATCATAAGATTAAAGAATATAAGGACAGAATTTTATGAACAACATGCCCATTTGTTTTGAAGGCATATATTATACCAAATAATTTAGTGATACCAATACAGGATTGAGTGATCAGATTATAAAACTTGGCTATTGAGTAGGAACTTACAGTGCAAAAACATGTCAAAATATTGAAACTTTATTTCCATTACAACTGCTGATATCATATTATTTTCTTGGTTATTTTGATAAAATTAATATGTAAACAAAATGTAATTGTTTCCCTTTATAAAGATACAATTCTTTCTCCTGTGTGATGTTTAGATTTTATTCCATGTCTTTTTATATCACTATTTCAATTTGAATCACATTTTAAATTTTGTCTTGTATCATCGATAAATATTACATAGTTTAAATCTTTCTTTAATGATGAATTTTAAAACTGTATGAATCACTTATTGTATTTCGTATAAATTGTCACTTTTGCTTTGGCAGTCGTTTTTATGCATTTTCTTAAAAAATCTTAAACAGAATTTATATTATAAAATAAAAAAAATAAATAAACTAGTTATGTTTTTAGTTATATTTCACACTCATGTTTTGAAAAAATTTTTTAAATTTTAAAAAATACATCTAATTTTCCTTTTAATGATCATTCATTTCATTTGCATTCGTAGTTAGTAATATTTTCTCTAATTCTCAGGATTTGGGGATTAAATTGAAAATCTATTTGCATTTTTTTTTAAGAAAATGAAACTAGATATATTTTGTAAAAGATAAAATGAAAAAATGAACTAGATATGTGTTTTAGATTATCTTTGGCACATGGGTCCATAAAACAATTGAAATGTAATTAGGTCATTTTTGTAATCAGATTCCTTTTGTCTTTTTTTTTTTTTTTAATGATTATTTGTTTACTAATTTTAGGGATTAAATCCTATTTCAGAGGTTAAAATAAAATTGTCAAATTCTCTTAAAAAATATCATATATATATATATATATATATATATATGAAAATGAAGAGAAAGAACAGTAAGAATTATAATCTGGTGTTCTTATTAATTATTTTTATATTTAAAAAACAGGGCTGAATACAATTCTGCAGAGCATAAACATTATAAATTTACTAATTTAAAAACATGGTTCCATCGCTACACAGGAATTAACATCTTTCAAAAACAGAAACTAATAGTTTTAATTTAATTCTATAATTAATTTTAAACTTTTAGTTTCTGTTTTTGAAACATGGTAATTCCTATGTCACTTTGGGACTATATTTTTAAATTAGTAAATTAATAATATATTGTACTTCTACAACTTTTGCAAATATGCATTGTCTTTCAGTAATTTTTTCTTAAGCTGTTATGGAAGATAATATACATAACATTTTTTTAAGTGGGCATCTGTTCATTTTTTTTTTTATTTTTTTTTTTACATATTAGCGCTTTCCATGCCAGTGACCTCTACTCGGATGTTTAATAAAATTTACATTTAATCTTCTGTTCAGTGGATGATCAACTCCACATCCTGAGCAGTAGTTTTTTTTCTAAGCAGGAGAAGCAGTCCAAAGAAGACCCCAAATTCCTGGCAATGTATGATGGTAAAGTTAAAATCTGTGTGAAGAAGGGAATAGACATTTCACTGATTATAACTTTTAATTGAACAAAGGAAGGAAGGAAAGGCAGAGAGTGAATATGAATATTCAAATAACTCTATTATTTGTGAAGAAAAAGAATCACTTCAAATGACCTTCAGTTACAAATGCCAAGGCCAATAGGTTGCAGTATACTATTACGCCAACCTTTACATTGACCTTGATTCATTGACATTACATCTCAGTCCAATGCTGTAATCAAAATTTTAGTCCCAACCAAAAGGCAGAAATTATTATTCTTGATGGCCTTTGTTGGATGATATTGTACAAGCAGTATCAACATCTGTCATTAGATGGGACTTTGATATGATACCTCTTTCAAGGGATGATAGCATAGGGAGCATTCCAGGAAGACTGATTATAGGTGAGACTTATTAAACAAATCCAGACTGTAAATCACATATGAATTAGTTCAAATTAAACTAAATTAAGTTAAAATACAGGAGAACCATTCTAACTTCCCAAAAAGTCCTCACCCTCCAGTCTTGATAGAATTCAAAAGCATCTCCAAGTCCTTGTGGATGCCAAATTATTTCCCTTCCTCTCTCTCTCTCACACGGAATGTGGCAAGACTCTTACTACTCTATCACTACTTCCATGGAAAGCGTTCCAATGAACAACATTCCTCGGTTCCACCAGTTGTAACTTTCACAGCTAGGACCTGCCATACTACTCATATTGTAACCAACCATCCACATTCCTTCTGTGTTCCAGCAGTGAGAAGTAAGCACAACTCCAATAGATTCTTTCCATGAACTGCTAATCTGTGGAACTGACTCCTAAGTGGATGTTTCTTCAGTCATTAATCTTAACTTGTTCAAGTCCAGGGTTAACTGTTATCTTTCCCTTCTATTCATATAAAATTCCTCTTAATGTAACCCTCTAGCTTGAGTGTCCCTGGGCCTCGTACAGGATAAACCTTACTGTAATAAAAAAAAATTTTTTTTTTTTTTTAAATTACACAGCTAAATGGAGAGAGAAATAAAGTCAAAATGATTTTTAAAAGTCTATTTAAAAAATAATCAATATAAAGATATTTTTAGCCAGTTGAACTATTTTCTTTCTTTTTATGTGTCTTTGAATTTTGTTCTCATGTTATGGATTTTTTTCAGGTTTATAACCATAATAATAAAAATGTAGCAAAGAGAAAATTTAAATGTCAACAGAAATACTTGTAAAATATTTTTTCTATTTTCAACAATTCGTACAGTGAGGCTCATTCCATAGTTTTTAATATGGAGATGTTTTGCATTGTTTTCACTGAGGAAACTAAAAAATACGATGAATTGATAAAAAAAAAATCTCTTTTCACAATAAATGATACTAGATATGATAAATAAGAATAGCCCAGTCCATGAAAACTTAGGAAGTTCCAACTTGAAACGATAAAATATTAATTCCTTTTTCTGAATATCAATTGCAGCTCTATCAAATTAATTATATGTTGAGCTGCAAACAATTCTTTCAGTGATTTCTAAACAAATTTTGTTTAACTACAAGCATAATCTGAAGATTTTGTTTAACGGTGTTGTAAAAACTATGTGCAAAAGATAAAAAGTAAATTGGCAAAAATTGTTAATTTGAAGAAAAAAAAAATAGTTTTGATTTTGAAAGAATACTTTCCTTAGGTTCTTTTGTTTACTGTTATTAGTTTTATTTATTTTTATATATTTTGTTGTTGGAAACTTTATAAATGCCATAGAGAGATAGATAAATAAACAATTTAAAATCTAAACACTTACTGTAATTAAAAAAAAAAAAAAAAAAATTGTTCCTTTTTATCATTTTTTGTTAATTTTCATTAGGAGGTGAGTTTGTTTTAAGAAATACAGTCATTGTGTTAGTTTTTTTTTTCTGATTATAAATACTTCTGCAGACTTTGTTGTCATGGTATTTTAATGAGTTATTTGCTCACTCTGAGAAAAACTCTATTCTCTCTAGTTCACATTATACCTAATTTTAAATTTTTTTTTTTTTTTGTTCATTTGTTTCTACCACTGTACTCTAGGACAGCTTGATTTTGGAACCATGGTATTGAACTCAGTTTGAAAGTTGGGGATTTGACATTATAAATAATGACACAAAATACTTTTTTTTCAAAATCGTTACCAGTCTTTGAGGAAACAAGTTTAAAGTTTAATTTCAAAATTCGAGTGTTAGAATTTCATTCCAGTAACTAGTGAAAAATGTAACAATGTCAAAAAATTCCATACCCTTATGGAAAAGAAATATATAAATGTCATTTAATAAAATGTTTTCAAATTGCAACATTTGCCTCATTATCAATAAATTAAAAAAAGTAAATCAGAATTATGAATTATATAAAAATATTCACTTTATAGAGGCAAAATGGAGATTGAATATAATGTGTACAGGTTGTGGCCAGCAATGAATATCAGCTTGTTTTTTTCTCCTATGGAATTTAGGTTTTGTTATTTTTCAGAGGAGAAAAAAAAACACACCATAAAACTCATAAAAACAAGAAATTTCATCATTTTAATCAACAATAGTATAATAAATATATTTTGTTTACAAACTTTGTCTGGGAATTTTTTTGATGGGTATTATCTAAGTTTTTACCTTTATAAATGTTTGCCATTATTTCTATTACATTCAATATTGAAATCTCAACCACTGTTTGTCACTGTAAAATTAGGTCTTTAGTATTTTTATACTGCAGGCTTAATTATTTGAAAAAAAATAAACATTTTGTATAATCTACATAATTTTGTATTTTCAAATTGACTGGCATTTATTCAATATGTGTTTGTTTATATCTGTATTAAGTAAGTAATACTATTTCTTTCTATTTTTTTATTTTAACTTTGAAATTTTATTAAAATAGGGTAATGTTTTCATTTATCCACCTCACCAGAAGTTGATGTTAATTCTATACTTTTTTTTCTTTGTTTAATTTGAACTAGTTCATGTGCTGATTTTCAAAATTTAAATTAATTGAAAAATATAAATTTACCTGATAATCTTCCTTTCTCTAGTAAATAATATTATATTTTTTTTCATATTTATCATGTATGCTAGATCTGTTTTTAAATGTATACACATTTTGAATTATCAGGTTCCTATTGAAGAAAGGGAATATTTAAAGGATCAAAAGCAGTTTCCAACTTGGAACTATTGACAAAGATGCTGTCAAAATAATATAAAAAACATTCAGCTGAAGCAGAGAGATTAGACAGCCAAATTGAAAGAAAGCAACACCGGGATTCTAGATATGTTGCCTCTACACCAGATATTTTTTTCAACAATGTCTTTCAGTGAAGAAACAACTGATGAGTTTTGAATCAGGGAGGCAGTCTAAGAAACCTTAAAAGTCTCTAGATATGCCATGTCACTTATTAAGTGTGATGTATCTTCTAACCTTGGGGAATGAATGGTTAATACCTTTTTATTAGCTCTACAAGATATGGGCTTTTCTTTATTGAATCCTTAACTTAAAGGACTTTATCATTGATAAATCAAAAATAGACAGTGAAAAGGCAAGAGTAAAAGTAAAAACCCCATTAGAAACATGTTCAGAAGAATGAAAATATCATCTGCATTGATGTTAATTGAAGAGTTGATTGCACCATTTTGCAATACAAAGAGATCATAGAGGAAAATGATGAAAAAAATTAAGAAAACCAAAGGAGCACTTGACTTTCACCAGAGATAGAAGTGGAATGTCTATATCTCAACCACAGAGTTATCCGTAACATTGGTGCAACTGGTGTTGTTCTAGCAGAGGATGTAGCTGATGTCTGAGAAGAATTAAACCCCATTAATTACATTAAAGCAATTCTTGTGGACAATACCATTACAAATACCAATTGTGCTTTTTACAGCTCTGGAGAAAAAGAACTTAAAAGAAAGTTGCACACTATTGGTTGTTCACTTCATCAAAACAAACCTCCTTTTAGAGCAGATTTTTTAAATGCAGTTGATAAAGTCCTATTACTTTTACTGGTCCTCAAGTGTTATATACACATTTATCTAATTTTTGTTCTATTGATTATAACCTAACAAATGGTATAAAATTTTATTCATTGATTAACCTTTTCTGTAATCTTTTAACCTTTTACACAGTTTTCACTTATCAAATACAGTAAAAATTTGCATATTTTGCATGTAGTGATTCATAATTAGAATTCTAGTTTGAATATATTTTCCATTCAATATATCTAATACAAAAAAATATCAACTTTATTTGTTTTTATTCTTGAAATAGCAAAATTTTGAAGTCAATTTGTAAGCAAAAACCTATGGAAATTAGGTATTTCTGTGTATTTTTTTCAGATGATGCTCAAAAATTTTGTGCGAGTACTTATCACATCAAACCCCAGCTTTTGCATTGAGTGCATTATTGATTTGCTAAAGAAAAGTGAAAAATTAATCTACCCTACTGTACACCTGTTCAAGGCAAACTAGTTTTCTGTCCTTTTCTTTTTCTTGTATGTGAGCTTTGTTTAGTTCAGTGGTGTCCCTATGAACACCATTGAATTATAGCATGTCATGATTGGTCAAAAGATTTTTTGAATGACATTCTTTTACTTTGGATCTCACAGATGGAGTCATTTTTTTTTTCTTTTTCCAAAATAAACCTTTCAATATTAAAATTGCAAACACACACATAAAGAAAAAGTTTGATTTTCTTACCTGGGTCAAGGGAATACACAAAGCAGGCAGGTATCTGACATACTTCTTTTGTACTTGGGCACTGCAGATAATAGCAGCCTTTGGGGCACCTGATTTCAAGAACTTTTCCCGGAAACTGGAATGGCTCTTCCCGACCAGTCATAATACAATGAGAGCAAAGAAGTTTGGTTTCGATGCGAGCAAACGGCCATTCACGCAACAGGCTCAGCATATCTTGCCACGGGTTCTGAATGAGTGACCAGATTTCCTGTAGGTCACTACCTCGAACTGACAAAGTCACCAGCAACATTAGCTGGTTGTTCACATCTTTCTTCTCCTTCTGCAAAAGGACCTTACTCATGTTGTAAACAGCAAAGATGCCATTCCGCCAACCATCGCGATATGCCACATAGTTCTGTAGTCGCACGGTGATCTTCTCAAAGAAGTTTGGTGGACCTTTATTAGGAAACTGGAGTTGAATACTAAGTTGTACTGTGTCTTTGGGGACACGAGCAGGCCATTTTAGACTCAAATCAGTTGGTGCAACATCTGGCAAGAACCAAGGGAATAATAGTAATTGTTTAAAAGCCAAGAGCGATGGATTGTACTGGTTAATAGGAATCTCATAACAAAGATCGAATTTCAGCATGAGAGATGTGAAAGTGTCCAGCGCATTTATACCCAAGTTGAAATGACAGAGAGTATAGCGGAGAAGTTCAGTCGACATCATACCCTGTTCAAGGAAGAGTTTCTTAGCACTTGAGAACATCTCTTCTGACATGTTGATCTTGAAGCCAATGCTTATGTTGTAAACCATGACATCTTCAAAGTCATGGCGAAATATTGCTCGCAACATGTCCACCAATGTCTCTGGACGGTGGAATACAAGCTGGTCGAGTCGTGGGTTATCATGGTACCAAACAATCTCACCAGTAGCATGGAGATACTTCAAAATGACCTTGAGGCTCTCTTTTGCAGAACCTTCAAGGCTGATCATAGACTGACCAAGGCTGTCCATAAGCTGAACAAAAATGTCCAGTGCTTGGCTCCAATCAAGAATTTTTTCTTCACGCCGCTGGATTGCCATTAAGAATTTATACCACGATTTTGGCAGTGGTCGTGGGTCATTTTTTTTTAATGTGTTCATTAGTGTATCGGTGAGTTCATCAATGCCAACCAGATCTTCAGCACAGCTGACCACCTGGATGTTATCAGGCAAGGTCACTCGTGTATTCAGCATTCGCTGCAAGTGAATCACTTTCTCCCTCGCTCTTTCAACATCGATATCGGAGAAACCACTCACCCCGGATTCTTTACTCTGTGTTGTATCTAAAGTGCTTTGTAATTGTTGCAATTCATATTGCAGATTGTTGATTTTGGTGTTTTCATCAGAGTGCATCCTCTCCAAGATGTAATCTTTTTTTTCTTTGATCTCTTCCTCGGAGCAGAGATCAGCATGGGTGCCAACCAAAAGTATTGAGGCACCTGGTGCCCGGTCCATGATCCCTTCTAGCCAATCACCAATCCGATAGTCATAAGATTCATGGTCCATTGAAAAGACACTAAGGTCAAAGACAAGAACATGCAATGCTTCTGGAGTAAGGAACATGTGGTGGGCAGCAGAATAGATGTGGTGCCCTCCAAAATCAAGGATCTGTACCCGTAAACTCTCCTCAGGTTCCCAGAGATGCCGTTCCAGCACCCAGGTACGCTCGTCTTCAGCAGTCAACTGTGAATGTCCCAGCAGTAAGGCATTGCGCAAACTGGTCTTGCCTGCCTTCACAGCACCTGTAAGTATCATTTTCTTCCGATGGCTCGCTTCGCTGACTCTGATTTCTTTCAAGAAGTTGAAGAGGGCATCGACACCCTGGTTGCAAATTTCCTGGGGTGGTCTCGTTAGGTAGTTATCCCCCAAGAATAGGGCCTTCGTCCTTTCCAACCCAGTCAGGCGGTCCAATAGGAGGGGCAGGCGCTTCAGCTGGTTGTGAGTAAGGTTTAGATAGTCAAGGTTAGCCAATTGATAGATGGTATCTGGGAGTTCTGCCAATTGATTGTACGATAAGTTCAAGGATTGTAGGGACTGGCACTTGCCGATGTCATTTGGCAAGCACTTCAATCGATTATTGCACATACTCAACATACGTAACACATGAAGTCGTTTTACATTGCTCGAAATACTTTCTAGATAATTGTCCGACAGTTCAATCTCCTCCAACTGCTGAAGCTGGAAGAATTCTTCAGGTAATTGGAGTAAAGCATTTTTCTGCATGAGAAATACTTTCAAATTTTCTAGTCCACTGACTTCGGGGGGAATTTCTGTGAAATAGTTACCGCTTATATTGAGCTTGACCAGCCGCTTTAGACTGAGCAATGCCAGCGGGATGGCTGGGATGAAGCGCATGGCGGCAGTCAGGTTGAGCTCCTGGAGGTTGCCGCACTTGGCGATGTCCTGCGACACATACTTGAGGTGATTACCACGCAGGCTCAACACCTTCAGCTTTTGTAGGTTCCCTATCTCGTCAGGCAACGTGTCAATCTGGTGCCAACTGCAGTCAAGGGTCAGCAGTTCGGTCAGGTTGCAAACGGGCTTTGGCAGCATACGCAGCCCACCCCGTGGACTCCACTTACCAGACAGATTAAGAACCTGCAACTTCTTGCACTGACCCATCGCATCCGGCACCTCTGACAACAGATTCCCACCAAGGTTCAAGTGCCGCAGATTCTTCAACTCACCAATCTCTGGGGGGATCGTCTCAATGCAGTTCTCACTGAGGTTCAACTCGACAAGGTTAGTCAGCTCAAAGAGAGATGGCGACAGCTCGGACAGATTGTTATAACTGAGGTTCAACCTTTGCAGGTTGGTGATCTGGCCAAATGAATTTGGCACACACTGCAAGTAATTTCCAACTGCATGAAAAACTTTTAAGCTAGTCAGATTACCCAAACTGCTGCCACGGACTGGGAAGTTAGAAAGTCGCATAAACGGGAGATAGAGCTCATCCAGCTCCAAGGTGTACAAAGACTTGGGGAGCCAGCCTTTGTACTTACCATCCGGTACTCTGAGCACCATACGACCATTGGCCGTGGTGGTCATGTACGACTTTAAAAGTTCAGAGGCTTGACTAGATGAAGACATTTTTCTCCCCCTTTCTTTTCTACTATTCTTCTTCTTCAAGTCTCCAGGCTACTAATGAGTAGGTTTTCAGGTTCTTTTTTTCAGGAAAATGAAATGAGAAAAAAAAAAAAAAAAAAAAATCAACATTAATTTCATAACAATAAAAAAAAAATAAAATAAAATAAAAATTTAAAAGGAAGAAATTATTCTGTGTTTTCAAAATACATAAGGTAACAGGCACTTCAGAGACAAAAATTGACAGTAAATAAAGTAATACAAATTTGATTAAGTAACCTGTTGTGGTGGCAGAGTACAAAATTTTATTAGGTTCTTAAAAACATTTTTTAAAGTATATGCAAATATATTCACAAATAAATTTAAGTGAAGAGCTAATTGGTTCTCACTCCTCACTCTTCAGAACTCAATTAAGGACAAAACAAATATGTTCACAATGTCTAAAAAAATGAAAGAGGAGGAAAAATATTACTTTTCCTCGCTTTTAAGGAGAAAAAAAAATTGTCGGGAAAGTAATACTTTTTCTTTTTCTCCTTTTTTTTTTTTTTTTTTTTTTCATCTGTTGTACACATATTTATAGGTTTTGTCCTGGACTGAGCTCTGAAAAGCAAAGAACAATAACCCTTTTTGGTTTTTTGTTGTTACATTTTTTTTTTATTATTTTTTGTTTTTATATATTGTTGTTTCTTTTCTATTATTATTTTTCAATTTACCACTTTATAGTGAGTAATTGTTTTTTTTTTTTGCTTATCATTGCTCTTTCTCTTCATTTGTTTTAATATATTTCTGTGTGTGTGTGTGTGTGTATATATATATATATATATATATACACACACACACACACACACACATGCATACACACACACTTTTAAAATGTCAGTATTCAAAACCCTAACAAATTTGTTTTATTGTTTTTGTAATCAGCACTCCAAAAGTAACCAAATTTTCAAACAGTAAAAGTTTTAATTCTTGATAATCATTTCAGGATTGCCTCTCCCTCCCAAAAATGCACCCAATTAAAATACAAAACAAAAGTTTTAAACTCTAACGTGATAGAATTTTGTCAACATACAATAGGATCATTGTCCACTGATCAACAAATGATTATCCCATGTTAAGTGTCAATTCTCATTAATGTCAGTGTCCACCAACAAATGCAACATATCTACTGTAGATTCACAAGGAAACAGAAATTGAAAATAAATTCCCTGACTGAAACCCTGTTGTCAAACATATGTGTTTTATTTGGGGCTTCGCTTGCACAGTTTGGGTGAGTAGGTAGGTGATACTTGGGACAACTTCTGCAATGTCAGTCTAACAATTCAGCACTTCCCACCTACCAACACCCTGCTTATCTAGGACATGGGACTGACAATATGAACAGGCAGCACTGGAACTACAAGAGAGACAGCTCGACTTCTACCAAGAATTTTTGGGGACACTACATGTATTCAGAGGACATCATATCTATTCTTGAAATTTCTAACATACATAATAAGGAAAAAGGGTCTGGAAAATTTAAAACTCACAGGACATGCTGAAGGCAAGAGTAACCAAGGGAGATGATGAGTAAAAAATTTAATAAGCTTCGTGAGAATATTTGGCAGAACCAGGACAAAGAGGGATGTTTATATAGACTTCTGATTTCAAGCAAGACTGTTAATATAGGCAAGCAACCAGAAATGATCAATGTCCAGTTTGTTGTCACTTGATCTCAAATACTTTTCTTTGCCTACTTGTTCTCTTTTTCCTTTTCATTCAAGTGGATGCCATCTAGAAAATCCCATCTGTTAGCCATAAAACAAAAACATTTGAAATTAGGATAAAATCATTTTCTTTTTCTATGTAGGCATCCTAATGATAGTGTCTCAATTTGATTATGTATAAACAAAGAATTTTTTTTTTTACTCATTTTACTATTAATAAACAAAACTATTTTATAATGTTAATTAAAAGTTTAATAGCAGGTATTTAGGTATAAGAAACACTGAACATCCCTGCCTTGGGTTATGGTTAGACAGAGTCTGCCTAGGTGAAGGATCACCAATTCCAAAACCAGGGTAGATGTGACTCCTTTAGTCATCTTGATGGCAACACTTCAAATAGTAAAAAAGCTTCATTCTTATGATGTGGGTAAATGAAATGCTGCTTGGTAGTCAGCTTCTGAGTGAATCATGGACATGCAAGAATGTGTGAGTGATGTCATATATATATATATATATATATATATATATATATATATATATATATAGAGTGACTCGGAATGAGAAACTCAAGAGCAGAGTTCAATTTCCAGTCAAGTTCATTACATTCACTTACATGCAACTACATTGGGGAAAAGTATGAATCTATTTTTTTCCCCCGTCCTCAACTAAGGGTTAAATAGCAAGGCTGACTGGCTTCTCTAACTGAGGTTGCTAACTAGTCTCATAGAAGGACAACTCTGAATTCAAAACCGTAATTGTCCAGGGTCATAGCTAATCTTTTTTTTCTCGTTTTTTTAAGTAAATGGCAATTAGGAAAGGAAAGAAATATCCAATACAAATTTCAGGAAGAATTTTGGTCTACTAAAGCTATTAAATGTTCCTTTTTAGTCAGTAGGTAGCAGTGACTAATTCTGAAGATTATTTCATTAGAGAGTACTTTTAGCTTAAATCTGTAGTTGACAGTTCACAACACCACACTTAATTGTGAACTTCAGAACCTTTTCCATGGCTGTATAGTATGTATTTTGTTGCCAGGGATCCATATGGCTTTGAATTGTCCCTTTCCTTTAATGGGTGCCAACCACAGTTTGAGAGCCTAGTCTACCCTGCTATTTAACCCATAACTGGCCGGGGGAGGGGAGAAATAGATTCATAACTTCCCACCAACTTTCTTTTTTTTGGTAGCATATCAAGGTTAGGCAATGTTTGTTCAAAATGATGAGTATTCAATCACCAGTAAAACACCAAAGAATAATGCAAGAATTTATGAACTCATCCACATGGACTGTCAACAAATGGTAATATTAGCTGTTTCTTTATTAAGAAACATTCAATATTCATTGGCTGAGCAGTCAAAATCTTTCTCTTTTTCAGGAAATTAATTTCTCAAGTCTGTTAGTTGTTAATGCTCTTGCCATGATCCTTATTAGAGAAGGGTTTAAGACAATGATGTGTCTTCTCAGACTTATTCAACATATATAGTAAGGCAATTCTGAGTAAATTAGAAGTCCTACCAGAATTCATTATTGGCAGCCACAATCTTAACATAAGATATGCAGATGATACAATGTTGATAAAAGACACAGAAAAGAAAATAAAGAAAACCTATAGAAGGTAGTGAAGGAAAGCGAGAAGAAAGGACTAAACATCAATTACAAGATAGAATGCATGGATGTCATTAAAAGGAACAACCCACAATGGAAATTACAAATTAGAGATACCAAAATCAAGCGAGTACAACAATTTAACTGTAAAATGCTTTAATAGAAGATATGAAAAGATGCCTTCCAAAAGTTAAGCAAAGTATTAAAAATCAGAAAAAAAATCATTAGAAACAAAGAAAAGAGTACTGAACTGTTACATAATACCAAGCCTCCTATGTACCAGTGAATGGTGGACAATCTTCTCACAGATGAAGAGACTTGAAGCAACAGAAATGTGGTTTTACAGATGGATGGTGAGAATACCATAGGCTGAACATGTGAGCAATGACAAAGTTTTAAAGAAAATAGAAAGAAAAAGAACACTTATATTTAACATCAGAAAGAGATAGTTGAAAGTTCTAGGGCACATAATGAGGAAAGAGGGCTTGGAAAATTTGAAACTCACAGGACAGATTGAAGGGAAGAGGAAGAGAGGAAAGCAGTGAATAACTTACCTAGCAATCTGGAGTTAATTGATGACATAAAAGGTTTTAGGAGAGACAAGACAAAATTTATTAAGAGCTATGATTTCCTATGTCCTGAAGGGACATGGCACATAGAAGAATATTGATATGCTTTTCTTTTTAAGACTGGGTCTTTCCAATACAACATCACATGCACAAAGTTTGTAATTCCTTATATATTTTATATGAAAGCAACTCAAATTATTATTTAAGTGTTTTACTTGAGGACATTAAAATTTTAAAGAGAAAACCCATAAAACTTACCTAAACTACATATATATATATATATGTACATACATACATACATATATATATATATTGAATTTGTGTTTGGTGTTTTTATGGTGATGGGTCTTCTTTTTTTCTCAGCATGTTTAGACACAAGCATGGATCTTTCTCACGGAGGCCATCTGGAAGTAAAATTCATTTTAGGTGATTAAATTTTTAGTCAGTTGAACACTAGCATAGATTTAAATCATTTTTAAGCATTTTCTTTCTTTATTTTCTTTTACAATGATAATCACCCTGATCATGGCACGAGAGCCACTCAAGATAGAGGTTTACAGAGTAAGAGGTATAGTTTATGGGGATATGTGGGGGTAGGTAACAGTTGACCCTAGACTTTGACAGGTTAACATTGTTGCGATTGAGGAAGCATCCTCTTGGGAGAGCAGTTCCACAAAGCAGTGGATCATGAGAAGCTGCTGCTTGAGTGGAACTTACATCTCACCAATGGAAGCATAGCATGACAGGTTTTAACTTTGAAGGTTAGAACTGGTGAAACTAAAGAATGTAGTTTGAAGATTTTCCATCGAAATAGCAATAGAGCATTGAAAAGAATAAAGAAAACCTCTGTAACGTCTGTGGTAAACACAGTACTAATTTAATCTATTTAATTTATAACTGATTCTAATTATTAGAATTACATTGAAAAATAAGAATTTTAAAATTAGTGGAATGATATATGTTTAGTTATGAGTACATCTTAATTTCTTATTTATTCCTACTTCAACAGCAACACTGCTGAGAATTGTGTCCTACTAATGCTTCTAAACCCTTCTATCATTGCTTGATATTCCCCGAGTCATATG